CCTGTAGCTGACTTGCACTGGTTATGCAATGGTTATATACTGGTGCAGCATATTTAAGGTTTAACAGTCAAGTTTCTGTACCTCTGGTGGGATGATCTCCTCCCCGTGTGCGTCCCTGAGCGGGAAGTCCTGCCCGTAGCTGACCATCAGGTCCAGCAGCTGCGGATCCTGCTGTCTGTGGTTGTACGACTGCCAGTCCAGCCGGATGGCGTAGGGGCAGGGGTTGTTCACACGCATGGTCCGCGCGATTGGCGCCACGCCGGACACGTGCGTCCCGTACCGGACCACCGGCTGCTGGTCGCGGAACGCTGCCGTCATCTGGAAGTTCAGCGGGCAGCCGACCACGGTCATGCGGACGGGGATGGACATGGGCGCAAGGTCTTTCACCTGGAGATGCACACAGAACACAATCATCAGATATACAACTGCTCATTGTACTCTTTATGAATATAGTGGAGACAGACATATTAAGATATAAGAAAGCTTTATTAGCACTGACAGACTCATGAAAAATCTGAATTGTCGCTAATTTACAAAAACAATTGTAATTTATCAAATTTTACGGAGGATTAAAAACCTAAGAGAAACATTCAGTTACATTGACATCATTTAGAAATTTGCAATTTTAAGATCACAGAAATCAAATGAAACATTTGTAGATAATATTATACATAATTATAGTTAAACGTAATAATTAATTGATTGCAGTTCCAACCTTGCAGATGAGGTGGTCCTGGTACTGTCCCCAGATGTCGGAGTAGGAGGTTATCTCCACGGTTACGGTGTGGAAGGGCATGAGCACGCCCGCCGCAGGCTGCACCAGGAACGCCGCCCCCCTCCCGTCACGCAGCAGCGCCTGAGAGAAGTCCACCTGAGACTTGCTGGGAGTCTTGCTCAGCGGATCTGCGATGTTCGGCGTGCGGCCCAGGAGCTGCCGACGGGAGCTGGGAGGGACAATAAATTTAGAAAAGTTAAAGGTATACTTGGTAAAGGCAGTCCCTTTTTTTTTTAGACTGTAGGGGCAGGTGGATCATCAACCCACATAGGGTCTATTAACTTTTTGGAAGGCAGGGTCCTTCACTCTCCTTCCACTGCATTTTACCTCCCAAACTGAAGTCAGGTACACATTTTACACCTTATCCAGGATAGAGAGAGGAAAGTCATGAAACAGTTTCATCTCAAGGACCAAAGACCAAAAACAATGTCTTACCGGGAATCAAACCTGTGACCTCCTTAAGCCTAATCATCGGTTACAAGAAAATGTTAAAAACATTCAGTAACTAAGGAAAAGAAAAAAAAGAACTAGAGAAGTTCAACACTTGCAAAGCAAAATGCATAATGTTTATCTTTGGACATGGTCTGCTCTGTTAATTCTTACTCAAACACACTCACATACATGTACTACTAGAGATATGGTGACAGGCGCAGAGCAGACCATGAAATTGCAACATTATGTAACCCAACACCGGTCACCATGGTGACAGACGTCAACAAATCATCTCATTGGTCAGGTCATAGATCACTGTTTGGAGAAGAAGAAGAGGAAGAAACGGAGTAAAAACAATATGTTTTCCTTCAGTAAACATAAAAAACCTACCCCTTGGTGACCGGATGGAATATGCCAGCCTTCTGGCCGGGTGGGGAGGGGGGTCGAGCGTGGAAGTAGTCGACGTGGATGGAGAAGGGCGCGACGATGGCCGTGTGGTTGGTGATGTGGAGGAACCGCCGAGGGTTCCCGTGGATCTCTACATCTGTCCCAAAGTCCAGGACCAAGTCGTTCCTCTCATCCTCTCCCCTGGAGTAGTGTTAAGAACAAAATTTAAAACTTAACCAACATTTGCAAAGCAAAATGGCCTATCAAACTACAGTGCCTTAAGACGAAATGGCTAAATCCAAAGTCGAGGACCTAGTTGTTCCTCTTGTCCTCACCCCTGGAGTAGAATATTAATTAGTATGATTTTACCTTTCAACATCTGTTTACATTAACATGGCCTAACAAACTACTGCTCTATGACAGAAAGGCTAAAACTTTATGTTCAATACTAAAATATTAAATAAAATTGGGTCTTAAACTGGATATATAAGACAAGACCAAGACAATTTACTCAGTTTTGGACATTAAGTTTTAGCTCTTACTCAAACACATTCAATGGTGATAGAAATCTAAATCCCTCCTGCTATAAAATTACAACATGATGTAACCCAACACAAGTTACCATGGTGACAGATGTCTGGTTCAGGGCATTGCCCTTGAAGACAAAACAGAGCAAAAACAATATGTTTTCCTTTGGTAAACATAAAAATGAAGTGAGATAGGACATGTTACTGATGCAAGCACGTCTAACCCCAAGTTTTGGGAAAAAAAAGTTAAACTCGAGAGAAAGAGAGAGAGAGAGAGAGAGAGAGAGAGGGAGAAGGAGAGAGAGAGAGAGAGAGGGAGAAGGAGAGAGAGAGAGAAATGAAGACATTACTCACTGTAGTTCCGGTTCCTTGGAGACGTTGTAAGACACGGTCAGGCCTCGCACCTGGCAGAACACAGTCAGGTACACGGGATCCGCCATGCCCTGGATCTGACACGGGATCCGAACCTCCGAGATCTCACCCTGGATCATAAGAAAAAACATTTAGAATAATTTTAACTCGCTGAAGTGTCGCAGCTGCAAAATTACAATTTTAAGTTGTAATTCCATCTTAAAGATTATATATACTAGATGACAAATGTTTTAAAAATGTACAATATATCGCACATTACATTATCGTGACCTTACAATGTAGTAAGTACTAGTTATTTCAATTTTAGGCATCTGTGGAAGTAATGTGTTTTTAGTGGGTGTACACAATAAAAAACACTGACAATAAACTTCAATGACCTTTAGCAATATTGATAATGTTGGGTTGCTCTCAAGGCCTAAAACAAAATTTTGTACAATGTAATCTTAAATACCTCAGGAAGGTATGCGATGATGAGCTCTTTGATTATTTTGTTTTAGTGTGTATCAAAGCAATGTTGAGTTGCTCTCAAAGCCCAAAACAGAGTCATTTTTATATATATTAATATGTAAATAATCTTAAATATTTCAGGAAGGTGTGAGCTCTTTTTTTTGTTTTAGTATGTATCAAACTGAAGACATTGCAATTCAGAAATCATTGCAATTTATCATATTGAAGTGAATTATGAACAGTTAATACAGCAAGCAAAGATCCACACCATTTCTGGCTCCAGAAAACTGCACAGTGACAGGAATATGTTTATATTAGAATCTCTTTAGCTACCTGCAGTTAATACAGAAAACATTAAGCCTACAACTGCACAGGGACAGGAATGTATTTCAAGCTCTAGTTAGTTACCTGTGTATGTCCTGTGAAGGTGACAGTGATGTTGACCTTCTCCCGAGGCCCGAGGTGTCCGCTGGGGGTCCCAAACTCCACACTGCACCGGTCCGCGTGGGGGCCTTCAGGCTGGGAGAACACAGGTTTAGTTTTATCTATTAATCTTGGTTTTGGACGGGTTTTAAAGTAGACAATGTTCCTGACCACTCCTGCTTCTCCTATTGGGTCAGTTAGTCCTCACCCCAGTGAGTCCACCTTGTTTCCAGCATTGATGTTCTG